GGAGTGTATTTCTACCTGATTCTTATATGAATAAAATTTACTTATTTTTGGCTTTAACTATTCGATAAAGACCACCTGCTCGGAATCGAGCACTTTCGAACGAGCAATGCTGAGATCGCAGAGCTTATGTGCATTCAAAAATGCACTGTTCCTTTTAAAATCTCAAATCATAATCTACTCTTAACTGATTTTTCAATTAAAACGTCATCTCTGCGCTATTATTGGCAGATTATTTCTTCACATCCACCAAGCTTGATTGAGACCTTAATTTTGAAATGACTTATACATTGAAAACACTTAATGGAAAATCTCAGCCTTTATCTCGATTGATTCGATCATTCTTTTATCAATTTACGAAACCCACTTTGCGAAAGACATCACTAATTCTCTAGGTACCACCAACAATCGCTATCCGTATCCATAACTACACATTCATTGACTCTTCAAATCTTAACAACACAAAATATATCAAGCTTTCTTTTTGCAAATGAAAAATGTCGCGTTGGAGTTGCAATTCGCGTCGTGCCATAATGCTTTAAAGACGATAGCTTTTTTCTTTGTAAACGTGGATACCATCTGAATCGACGAAGGGTTGAAAAAGTACCAAACGATACCGTAATCACCTGTGCGCATTTCTCCTCTGTCTTGTTCTCACTCTCCGGCTGTCCTGCCCACTTATTATAACCGTAAGGAGAGCCATCAGTCCAATGCCAGGTTTTGTTACCCTTGCTCCGCTTCAGCCCTATCCACGACAGGCGATCACTCTTGCCAGCAAATGTTCCATTTTCCGCAATCCCTTAATCTTTACCTTAGAGACATTTTATCTCTATATTACATACGCTCAACGAATTCGTTCTCCAAATAACTGTGGATTGAGGTTAAGTGTCCTTTGAAGACACGACAGCGATTCTCTGCGTCGTCAAACGAGTGTGGCCGTTCAAATCTCTGAAATGCATACTATGCGCTTGACCTTTTTTCCACATCTGTTTTTTTTTGTTTTCATTATTTTGTTTGATTACAAGTATCAGTGTTGACTTCTCTGCGTTTT